TGCACGCCACCATAACCGCCGGCCGCCACCCCAACCTCATCGACCCCCTCGGCCTCCTCACCGGCTCGGCCACCGGGCTCGTGCTCCAGCTCATCCCGCCCACCTACACCAACCTCGGCCTGCCACCTAGTCTAGACTCGTGCACGCGGGACAGTTTCCCGGCCACCACGATGTTTAGCCTCGAGCTCGTCAAGGGCATCCTGAGGGGCATCGCGAGCGCGGCCGCCCATCTGCATGCTAGGGGTATTATGCATGGGGATTTGTATGCGCATAATATTTTGCTGGACAGGGCGAGTGGACATGCGCTGTTGGGGGATTTTGGGGCCGCTACTGTTTATGGGACGGAGGGAGGGTTGGGTGGGGAGGGGGCGTTGGAGAGGTTGGAGGTATTGGGTTTTGGGCATTTGGTGGAGGATTTGTTGGGGTTGGTTGTTCATGATGTGGGTGGAGGGGATGGGGAAGAGGATTGGATGAGTGAGAAGGATGCAATGGCTGTCGAGGCCCTGAATGCGCTGCATTGGCGGTGTTGCGATCCTGTTGTTTTGGGGAGACCTAGTTTTAGGGAGGTTGTGGAGGAGTTGGAGGGGATTTAGAAGGTGGGAACTTGCATTTGGAATTAGAATTAGAAAGGTGTGTGTGTTTTGCGTAAAGGTAAGGGAAGGGAAGGGAAGGGAAGGATTAGATTTCATTCTCGGAGTTGGGAAATGGTTTCAAGAAGTCTTTAGAGAGATGGCTGGGTCTAAACTTTATATGTTTAGAATAGAGAGATGGACGGCAGATTTTATTAGGATTGCATAGAATTAGATTATAGGCAATAGATATATCACAGAATAAACCAACATTTTCATTTCCACTTTCAACTCCTGGCTACCTACTTAGTGTTGGACCCTCTCCTCTCACTTTACCGAGACCAGTCTATATATATATATCCCCCTCCATATCTCACACCTAACAACTAGTCGGGTAAACCGTTCCTGTGTCTACAGCATTATATGCGTGCGTGCGTCGTTCTTCTGAAGACCGAGGACCTGACGGACGACTTGGACTTGGTTATAGTGCAAGGAAGGAAGAATCGAGGGTTTAAGATGGCGATTATGATGGTATGGTGGGGGGTTGAATAAACAAAAGAATGGGTGAATGAATGAAATTGGTTTGACGACGAATGTTTGCTTGACAGCAAGGTATGGAGGAATCAATGAATGAACGTCTCTCTCGGATAGACACCTTAGAGTGCAGAAATCTGGTTCGATGGAAGGGGAGGGAGGAGGGCGTGTATATGTAGGTAGCAGGTAATCTTGCGTGTTTCGTGAGCGTGATTGTGATTGTGAAATGCAACACTGGTGGATAGCCACTCGTTGATATCATTTTTAATAGCTGTTTCGGTTGGATGCGTTTTCTGGAGTGGAGGGGGGCTTCTTATAATGAGTTGAGTTGGGAGGCTTTTGCGGTACTTTGCGGAGGGGAGTTGGGGAGTGAGAGTTGGGGATTGGGGCGAGAGGTATTCACTTCCTTGAAAGGAAAAGAATGTAGGTGTATAAATGATCACCTTGCGACGTTAAGTTTGAAAAGGTAGTTGTAGAAGGAAGCCCCGAGCTTGGATTTGACATGTCGATGCGTGGGTAAGTAAGTAGGTAGGTAGGTATTAAGGTCTTATACTTCTTTTGCTCCTGCGGCAATTTTCTGGGTTCCAGGATGCGCGATGCGTTGTTAAATTCTAGCTGCTTTGAATGCTAGTGGTTCTTGACAGAAAAGATTCCTTGACAGCAATCCCTATACTGCATTCACGTTTAACACTTGCTTCCTTTTATTTACAAAATTCTATCCCTTGCGATATGAATTTGCTTTTCTAGGAAGAATACGTATTTTTTAATAGAGCGCTATATGCCGATTCCATACTCCCGGAATTGTTCGCCTTTATAGTGATTTGATTTTCGTTATTGTCTTCGTTGAGAGAAAGTGTTGCTTATATATTTTTCAATCTCCTTGGTATTATGCTAGGTGTGAAATGTTTACTTTGGAAGGATTGTGGAGTAGAGTAGAGTGGGTAGGAAGGTGGGTTTGGGTGTGGGTTAAAGGCGAATAGTATAGTATAAAAGTACGTTTCGGATTCTTGAAACTGCTTCTTCATCTATAATACAAACGACCTACATTGGGAAGCTTCTATCCTGCATGTTTCGGCACTGCTACTACCACCTGAGAGAGGAATTCTCTCAGATCCCACCTCGCTTTCCTCTTTTTCGTTTTGCTCCAGATCTACTCCAGCCTTAAATTCTACTTCACGATCAAGCTAAGTTCAGAAGTAGTTTCCCCTCATGTCAACACTTAAATATAAAACTCGACCTAAGAGGCTTGCCAAAAGAGCGGACCATGCTACCAGAATGCACACTGCTGATTGTGTTACTGCTCGGTAGAGTATCAATATAAGGGTTTTATTAACTACGACAACTACCAAGAGAAAAGCTTAGAAGTATAGAAGTGGAAGTTGGAATAACCTCAAGAGCACGGGCCACTTCCAGAAACGAGTCAGATCCATAACGTGAAAGACTAGCTCTACAAGCTGAAAATTTGAGGTTTATAAAGTATATTACAGTTTAAGACAACTTATCAAATGCAGATTATTTGCTTATTTGGGGAAACATGTGGAATAGACTACTAAACGACATATCAAAAGAACTTTGTCATCAGCCACCTACCCAGCTGAGCTTTAGTAAGCGAGCATTGCCGACGAAAAAGGAGACAGCCACCGCGCCACGAAAATAAATTCATTGGCCAGGTTCTTGCAACGTTCCTTCTATGGCTTGCTATATTCCTGCTTACAACGCACGCAAACCACACACCCTTGCTTAAAATGAACTACATCCTCCGAATCTTGCAAAGGGACACAACCCTCACTCATTTCCTAATTACTAGGAGTTTTATTTCAACCCAATCCATCACCGTCAACCTTGTCTCTAGGGTTTGAGATAGCCATATCAACATAGTTCAACTGGATACCATTAATTTGGAAGTGTCAAGATAAAATTATCCACGTTTTAGAAGCTTGCTTTAGTGAGACAATGAAAGAAGTCATTGTTCATCCAACACCTGAGCTCTGGATCGAAATCCACGAAGTTCCGATCCCAGAGCTAGGCCCTAAGGAAATCGTGATAAAGGTCATTGTAGCAGGATCAAATGTGAAAGGTTACTGCTCAACCCCCTTTTACCACTTTTTCGTCTTGATTTTGACATCAAAAATATAGACTGGCTGCATTTAACAGCTCTCAATATCTCGCTCAACAGCGGCGATGACATTGCCGGAACTGTCCACGCGCTGGGTTCAGAGGTCACCAAGACCAGAGAGTTTGCTGTTGGAGACCGTGTTGCTGCTTTCCATCCTATGATGAGTCCCCATGGCGCTTTTGCTGAGTACGCTGTTGCGCCGTATCATACGGTGTTCAAGATTCCGGATGAAACGAGCTTTGAGGGTATGTCATCCTTGAGTTTCCAAGCCTTCCAAAGGAATCCCTCTTTGTGTTTTTACGGCATATCTTATTGTATTTATATCAAATCATTTTCTAACATGTCCACATAGAAGCGGCGACCATTCCTCTCGTGATTACTACCGCAGGCATAACCCTCTTCCGCCGTCAAGGCCTCCCACCACCTTGGTCCCCACGATCTTCGGAGAGTCCTCCTCTACCGCTGATAATCTACGGCGCATCTGGCGCTCTTGGAACCTTTGCAGTCAAGCTTGCTCGTGCTTCAAACATCCACCCTATCATTGCCATCGCAGGTTCAAGCTCCTGGCACCTTGGTCCATTACTAGACAATTCCAAAGGCGACGCACTAGTTGACTACCGCGTAGGAGCTGAAGACATGAAGAGACTGGTGAAGGAAAAATTAAATGGTAGGTCATTAAAGTTACGTTAGAGCATTGCTGACTTTGTGATCTAGGCCTGGAATGCCACCACGCTTTTGATACCATTTCCGGAGATGGAACTTGGATACCAGTCTCTAAGATGCTATTGCCTTCCACGGACGCAGAAAAATCATTTCTATCCGTCGTCTCGGGTGCCAACAGGTACGATGATGAAGGTATACCAGAAAGTGTTAAAGTGGTCTACACATATGTCGGAACCGCACATTCGGGAGCATATCGTCCTGGAATGGTCAAGCAACCGACGGATATAGAATTTGTGAAGACTGATCCAGAGTGGACTTACGTGTTCTTTCGATATGTCGCTAGGATGTTAGCAGATAGAAGGCTGACTGGCCATCCTTTCGAGGTTGTGGACGGGGGTTTGCAAGGGGTGGGAGAGGGGCTGAAGATGTTAAAAGCAGGTAAGGCGAAGGGTTTCAAGTATATTTTCAAAGTTGCCACTTAAGAATGGAATCTCAGCGATTATGGCCGCATCGGAGGCAGTCAAACGGATGCGTGGCAATGGAGGTGGATTTGATGGTGGTGGTGGTGACGGAGGGAGAGAGGCCCAGAGCGCTGGATTGCATCTAGCTATCCGTAGCTTTTCTTAGCATCTATGAGAAAGAGCGAGATTGAAAGTTGATATGAGATGATGATTCCGGGTATTACGGTCTGTGCTGCTTCCTATTGCTGGCGTTCTTCATAATTCCTATGTGACCTGTAAGCAAGGGATGTGCAGAGAAGATAGGGTGGCGCTGATGCCAAGTTGAATTCCTGAGGCTTGATTTTCGTGTGCGGCCGCTGTGAGCGATCTCCGCGAATTCTCAGCGCAACCTGCAATGCTACTTCTGCACGAATTAACTTACACTTCGCTGCCTATATACCTCTTCGACTAACATCTCACCGAATATATATGAACGGCGACAAACAGTGTCACTGAGTAGAGATACTATTAAGGCTGGAGTTCTCACCAGGAATGACCCGAATGCAAAGATTGGTAACCAGGAGGGAGAGCAGGACGTGATTGAGCAACCTGAGCGGAGGTTGAGGCGGGGATGAGTAGCGCCTATGTAGAGTGGCGACGCTGACCAACTGTGTTGAAAGCGAATTTGAAAAAATGTCGTCTGAGATTACCGTAGTAATTCAGGTCCCTTTCACAGGCCACTAGCGGTTCTTTGCATGGATACTATGCCAGCTTCCAGTCTCTCCGAATTTCAGCAAAGACAACTTTGCCTTTCAGCATATCAGTGCTTAAGAATCGGCAACTATTGCAGATCGGAGGTTTGGGGATGACTCGTAGGAAGTGACCTTACACTTGTCGGCCAAACATGAAGCGGCGATCGACTTGAACAGATGAAATTGCTTGAGTTGGCCGAAATGCCTTTCAATCCATCCAATCGTCTGCAACGTTGAAAATACCAGGCGACACTCAAAAGATTGGCTTCTGAAGACTCAATGAGAATTTCAAAGGCTAGCAAAGCTCAGATGAAACGTAGCTGAGAATTCCTCGATAAGACGTGCAATTCCTCAACTATAAAAGCGCTCACATGAGGAGAGGTCGCTGGATTCCGAGTAATTCTCCCAGACTAAAAGTCAAATGGAACTGGAAAGAACAGGACTTTTGCAAGCCATTGATTGGCGTTTACTAATGCCGGAATGCGACTGATGGCTTCAGGACTCTCAATGAGACAGACAGAGATTTACCTAATAATAAGGACTCCGATATTCGGGAACCGCGAGCAATGCAAAATTCCAGGAGGTCGTAAAGAGGTGGAAGGTCAAGGAGATAGACGATGCATACGAGAATTAGGTATGCTGGAGATCTGTTATGAAATATAATTTACTCTCCAATTATGAATTTGGTTAATACAACATCGAGTTATCTAACCTTTGGGGCTTTGATTCAGGCTTGATGCAGGCAGGTCTGAGGGAGTCCCACGTACTAGATATGTGGAGCAGGTGAAGGCTGGAAATCAGACGATTTGGCAGTCGCCCGCAGCCGCCACCCGCATCCACGGGGCGCTTCAGAACAGTGGCTATGTGTCTCAAGACTAGACATTACTATATCGGTGGTAAGAATTTTCGGCCCATGGCGATCGTACGTTTGACCAGTGCTCCAAGTATAGGAGATTTTGGTATGTGGCGTCTTCTGAAGCTTTCCATGAGGGTCAAAGCTTGTATGATCAAGTTCCGACTGTAGAACTTGAGGCACCGCACGTCTCATCGCAACCAACTCTATTTCCGCGATCCAATAGACAGGAGAAGGAAACATGAAACCGCCCATGATGGGCTAAGAACCTAGGAATGATCTCACACGGAATATCTCTAGCCTTTTATTATGTCAAAAGCGCTAGACATTTTTCCGGTGCCATAAAATATGATACTCTACCCCCCATGGTCCAAGTGGCATAACATTTCATACAACAAATTTCTCATGGGTTCAAAAGCAGGCTTTTTCTGACCCCGATGTCTCTATCGCGAATTCCTCTCACTCAAGTTTTCAGATCCAAGAGCAACAGCACAAGCTCGACGTCGTCTGACTCGGAAACGACAAGTCCCGGTACACGAGACACGACGCCATTTTTCAGCAGTCCAGTCAGGGCAAACACTCTACCAGGCTTCGGCATGGCGCAACCAAATGCAGGAGCAGGAGCCCGGGGCACAAGAACCCCTCAAATGCTCGAGTATGAGCGACAAGCGGAAGAACGGCAGAAGGAGTACGACAGGATGCAGGAAGAACGCGAGCGTATGCTGGAGGCCGAGGAGAAGATACAGCAAGAGCAAGAGAGGATCGCTCAGGAGGAGTACGAGATGAGACAATACTATGAGGCGGAAGCTTTGAAGCATGCGGAGGAACTGAGGGTTCATCAGGAGGAAATCAAGAGGCATCAGCAGAGAGTGAGGGAGCATCAGCGTCGACTCCAAGAGTAAGACAATTGGAAATTCTTCATTCATATCCTATTCCGGCTTGCTTTGAGGGTCTTATGAAAGCTTTGTACTGTTCCGTCGATATGTCTTGCGCTTCCTGAGTTGCTGCTATACACTTTTATTTCGGTAAAGCTGACTCCCCGTTCTCTACAGTCATGAAGCCTCTGCTGAAGCTTTCGCTAGAGTAATCGCCATGCCCGCGAAACAAGGCAGAGATAAAATCTCATTTATCGCCGCTCCCAGGAAGAATAGCGCGACTGCGAATGGGAATGGACAAGCGCCGGCTCAATCTCAAGGGTGAAGCAAAATCATTACCACGTGATGAGTCTTGAAATACACCTTGGAGAGCTAAGAGAGCTCCAGCGGCGAGTCACACTCATGACACTCGGGCAAGATGAGGATTATGTCGAATGAATTTACGTTCATATCATGTGTGGCTGGCTTTTCCAGCAGTACTCCTGGCCGTGCACAGCAGCGACACGGTGTCAGATACAGGCAAACCCATACACCTTTTTCTGTCTTAATCAGCTACCTGGAACCCATTTCGGAATTCACGCATGTCCCGGTGGCAACTAGGACAGAATCGGCTTCCACGACAGTATCGCTATGCTGCTGAGTACTCGTCCTCTCCCCAGCGGGTTTTCACAGCATTTCAAACAGATGCACAAGAAAGACTGATAAAAGAAAGCTACGGGAATGCAGGGAGGATAACACTGCAATATCAATGGCTTTGTAGGTGGGGAATATGTTGGTGTTAGCCTCCCAGAAAGTGCTATTCAAGCAATCAGGAGATCACCGGTGAATTCTGAGGACTGGCTTGAATTATGTTGGTATCACAATGATCACTTCACTAGCCGGATTAAGGGGCATAAGCGAGGATTATGTATTAATAATACTATAATTTATAATAGACGACGACGACTAGAGTTGCAAATTATGATGAAATAGAATGCTACTCAAAAACTTCATTATAGAGCAGAGATGTTCATTCTAGTGGTCTATTGTATGTTCATAAAATGCTTCATAGTATATTTCTGCCTATGACTTTTAGATCTCTTCTATCTTGCTAAACTTACCCCCCTAAACAGCTGCCCTGTTCCTTCTTAAAGCTTTGCCTACCTCATACATTTCCACCAGCCCTAACAAATGATCAATAATGCTCTATATCTTTACAAGCTTGTGCAAAATACGGGTTATTAGTAAATCTATCCCTATGCACCACGACAGTAAAGCGATTAACCTCGGCACAGTCCGCATGGTCTTAAATAGCGCGGTAGTCAAATAGTTAATCCAAATATGTGCACGACTGGCCTCAAGTCAGGGCCGGATCGTTATGCGCAAGTCCTATATTTGACCCCCTTGGGCCCTTCTGGTAATTTGAGCAAAACTTGTTTTGATTGCCTACCACACTAATACGGGATTTGCTTTGCTGCACGTATAATAAAACAGGTATTTTTAAGTGACCTTTGACTAGAAGCATACTAATGCCACCGGAGATCATACGATACTTTGCAACATACTCAACACATTCAAAGCCCATCAACAGGCCCCACAGGATGGCACTGCTGTGTTGGGATTTAGCTGTAGTGTTCGACAGGGTTTGATGGTGAAGGACAAGATTCCGGGTAGTTGGAGGGGTATGCGACGTGCTGTGATGAAATGAAATACTGCACGAGTTAAAAGGCATTGGAATTGGGAGCACAGCTTTCGAAAAAAGATAAGGCCACTTGACGCATGGCGAACGAAGTGACATGACAACAATATCCGAATTGACCATATACAAATAAGAAAATACATTAACCAAGAATCCGTCTATCTAAACACTCCTATACGCCTCCCAATGCATTTGCTAGATATTATGCCCAAGCCCCCACCAAAGCCATTAGAGTCGCGCCACCAATCACAGCTGCAAAAGCTTCCCATCTCCTCCGGCCCTTTAAAATCCCATAACTCTTATCACTTAAAAAGTCTTCTGCAAGCAATTGAACTAATCCGGCAAACAACAATAGCCCACTTGAAATCGCATTCATGAATCCCACCATCAGCAATCCTGCCGCGCTTTGCGGATCGTACAGATTATGCACGATGAGACCAATCGCCTGCCCGATTGGCGTCGTTGTGCCGTATGCGAGGACCATAAGCCATGGTCTGGGAGAACGCGTAGGGAAATTTATGGCTGCGATGCGGGATCCGAGAGCGAGTCCTTCGAAGGATTGATGGAATGCGATGGCGATGAGGAAGACGACAAAGGGGGGCCCAGTAGCGACGGATACAGCCATACCGATAAATATGCTGTGGAAGAGGATACCGGCTTCGAGGAGAAGGCATTGTAGGATCTGACGTTTGCGTTCGTCGTCGGGGGAAAGGACATTGTTCGGTTGGGGAGCTTCGGCATCGTCGGACGGGGGATTGAATGCTTGGGCAGTTGGGTCGAGTTCATCGAGGTCCAGATCAGAGTCGGAGTTGTCACCGTTCGCATCATCGTATCTGTTGGCTTTTGTTTCGTGTCTGGGAGATGGTGTTGCGACTGGGAGAGGGGAAACGCCCGCAACTAGTCCTTCAGTCGCATCCATATCTTCCAACGCAATATCCTTTGGTCGATGATTCAACCCCAATTTTCCTAATCTTCCGTTCAACTTCTCTCGTTTTGGTTGGGTCGTTCCATTTGTATTATGGTTGTGTTCTTCCTCTGCATCCGGTACAACATTCCATTCATGCGAGTGCGAATGTCGAGCCCCTCTTACGGTCAAAAACATCTCCAACCCAACCACGATCAGCGCGGAGATCATAGCAATCAATCCAGCCAGAGGCCTGTAGCCCTTGCTGAAGAAGTGTGGCAGACATGGATCTGAGAGGGATGTGAAGGCGGTCGGGAGGAGGTGGACGAAGGCCGTAGCTATGAGCACACCTGTTCCAAAATGCTGGGATATAAATATAAATCTGCCAGGCCCGGCACTCTTCGAAGATCTTCGAGATACCAGAGGGAATCCGCAGGCTTGCAGCGAGTCAGCAAGTGCAATATGCGGCCCGCAGAGTGGATGACCTACCAACTGTACTGAGAACGAGGATCAATACCAGCGCACCTACATGTGCCGAGGTGTTATAGCTTCCCTTGACTCCAGATCCGCACTGAGGTTTCGTAACATCTTCATCTCGTCTTGCCAATTCGGCTCGTAGCAAATCTGTCGTGATGCTGGACCATGACGGTGCTGTAACCGTTAGCTGCCATTACTGTACGTGGAGCCAACTCGTGTTGTGCTTACCAAGATTCTTAGTATTGGAATTGACCATCGTTCTCTATAAATTATCACCTTCGAATAGATCGTAAGATCATTGTGTATCTGTCCTGTATATCCGGAATATGCTGTACTATGGTCCTGTTCCGAAAGATAGGGAGGGGAGTTCAAACAAGGATGTCGCTAACACCCGCCTTAGGCTTAGCGCCTTGGTCTATATATCCCAGAGCATCTCACATTTCACAATGGCCAAAGTCTGTTAAGTTACGTTCTTGATCTCTTCAGTCTCTTCACAAGAAGTCTTGGAACAGCCGCTATTTCTGCAACTGTACTCAAGTTTAGGTAAATATTGCAAACTGGCTGATTTATCAACCAATCACTGCGGGTTTTCTAAAATATGATCTGCAATACCCGTTATAATTGAAAGAGTGCCGGGCAACTCCCACATATTGCCAACGGCCGTCCAGTCCTTGCCGAAGAACATCATTTGACAGGAGCAACTAGTTTTTGCCATACCTACCGCTGATTGAGCCATGCAGCCTTCGCCAAATGGTTTTTGAATTCCATACTTGCGTCAATGTCGGCTAGGTAGGCATTGCATATGTCTGCTTGTTCGTAGCATCTATACATGGAGTTGGTTTCTTCGCTCAGACTCAGTCGAGCAAGGAATAGACCTGCTCCTCATGTCTCCCCTCCATCTAGTAGAGCACATTATAGGGCTCTATGTTCACTGGTGCCAGCTATATTTCCTCGGCTACCCAGCGCTTTGCGTCGTAATTCTCGGTCAACATCGAATTTTTGAAATCGATATTTTGCCATCTCGTCTCATCTTTCCCATGGTCCTCTTTGAAACGCAAGCTGTAAATTTTCCGCCTCCCTCGATGAACCATTGGAATATAGAGTCTTCATGTAGCAAATTGGTCATACGTCCGGCGCAGTCGGAGCTTTCCTGTAGTTGAGCTCTGCGTGCCGGACTTCGCGGTCGATAGGGATGAGCTGAAGCTTGGCGCAATTAGCAATGCAATATGCCTTGCCATATTCTTGGTAAGATCCATGGACAGTATGAATCAATGAGAACTCCCTTAGTGCAGGGCAGAGTCTCTCGGCACAAACCCAGGGAGTCTAAGAAGCCATTTCCTCGAGGGGCGACCACACCGATGACGAGTGGGCTGTACGTCTGCAGCAGTGCTTCTTCGACGGATATATATAAATCTAATTATTCACGGCTTGAGGCCATCTCTAGAAGGGTATATAACCTCTAGAAAGGGAATTCAATTCTCAATTCCGGCAAACATAAATATTTCACTTTAAGTATCTCCTTGAGAACCGAAGTTGAAAATATGCGTGCAAAGAATAGCAATACCAGTAGGCAAAATGACAAAGATTAATGAACTTTGCAAGCCAGATTTCGTAAAAACAAATATGTCTGGCATAGGTAGGGTTGGCTGGGGAGTGAAAGCCAAATCGCGATGGGGAGTGAAATCAATGAAGGTGAGATGAGGCAGGCTAAAAGGGTGAGACTGAGGTGAGCTGAGGTGAGGTAGTCGTTGTTATCGGACAGGGGTCTTTCGCACTAATGAAATTTATGGGGAATTCATGCGGGTGTCTGAACCGCATCGCAACGCAACCTTCGGAAAAACAAATACGAGGCCCCGTAGGACCACGACGGCGATTACAGGACGAAAGGGAAGACCACACCTCACCTCACCTCACCTCTCCCTCCACCACGCTCATTATACGGCCCTTGAATAACAATAACCACCACCAACCGGGATTTGCCTCTTTCTACTCCTTCAACCATCTTCAACACCAACCGACCAACCCAATGCCCTCGCAATGAGCATCTTCTCCTATATCCGGAGCATTTATGCTCTGGACACCATTGATACCCGGTTTACCAGCTCTTCCTCTACGCCCTACAAGGCTGTCATAGATGCACGTCTCAGCCCTGCGGCCTCTACATCCAAGAGAGACGACTCTGTATATTCACCTGGCGTCAAGACAGATCGCCATGGACGCCCCGTGGCCCAACCCTCGAAATGGAATACCCCTGAATTCTACTTTTACTATTTTGTATTCTTAACTATTGTCCCATATATGTTCTGGATCGCGTATGATGTGTCGAGACGTTCGTATCTTCGAGAACCAATGTGTGCGAACAGGCGCTGACCTCCCTGCAGCCTCAGATCCCAATTACAAGAAATTCGAGCCATGGCTATCCCCTGGGTGGGTTCCGGGTCGCAAGATTGTGGGTGAAATTAAATCGAAGCAGCAGATGAAATGCGGAAGCTGACCACCAACAGGATCTTTCTGACGCTCAATATTCGAGCTTCCGAAGAAACCTGCCATATCTCGCGATCCTCGTAACCTTTCATCCACTTCTACGAAAAGTTTATAATGCATTACGGCCCCTACCTATACGAAGCAATTCCCCAAGACCGAATGGGAAATCCACGTACATTTCTGCGGCAGAAGCGGATGACCGACTGGAGCAACGCGCGTCATTCGACTTCGGATGGGCATTTATATTCCTAGCAGCGCTGCACGGCTTTTCCGCCTTGAAGATTCTCTTGATATTATCTGTCAACTACTCTTTGGTAACGAGGCTCCCTCGAAAATACGTTCCAGCAGCAACTTGGGTCTTCAATATTTGCACGCTCTTTGCAAATGAGCTTTCAGATGGATTCAAGTTTAGCAAGATGGCCATCTATTTCTCGCCAATTGAATATGGCGGAGCCCATTCGGGGAGCCTGTTACATGCCTGGGCAGCGTGGCTTGATAGCCATGGTGGTATTCTACCTAGATGGCATGTTCTCTTCAACTTGACAGTATTGAGAATCATTTCGTACGATCTGGACTATTACTGGAGTCTAGACGCGAGGGGGGGAGTCTAATAGAGGTCAGTCTACGTCCTTTGACTGCAAAATAATTACTAATACTCATAAGAAGAAACAACTCGACCCCGCCAATCTCTCTGAGCGCGATCGAGTCTCCATTCCAGCGCCTACGAAAGATTTCAACTTCCGCAACTACGTTGCCTACACAATCTACGCGCCCCTATACCTCACCGGTCCGATCCTCACCTTCAATGACTACATCTCTCAACTCAAGTACCCTCCTGCATCAATCGAAACGGCGCGTACCATTAAATACGGCTTGCGCTTTTTGCTCGTGCTCCTTGCCATGGAGCTTGTCCTGCATTTCGATTATTGCGTCGCAATTTCCAAAGCAAATCCGAACTGGGACGACTACACTCCAGCTCAACTGTCTCTGCTCTCATATTTCAACCTGCATATCCTGTGGTTGAAATTACTCATTCCATGGCGGTTCCATCGTCTCTGGTCGCTGATAGATGGGATTGACCCGCCCGAGAACATGCTCCGATGTTTGTCCGACAACCCCTCCACAATCGCTTTCTGGCGTGGCTGGCACAAGTCCTTCAACCGCTGGTTGATACGCTACATTTACATTCCGATGGGCGGCGCGGATTCTTCGACTTGGATCTCAACTATTCGCTCCTTTGTCAACTACTTGACTGTGTTCACATTTGTGGCGTTATGGCATGACATCAAATTAAACTTGCTCATTTGGGGCTGGCTGATTGTGCTTTTCATGTTACCGGAAGCTATCGCTGGGTATGTGTTCCCGCCACGGAAATGGGAGGATAGAAAGACGGCATATAGAGTGATTTGTGGCATTGGGGCGGTGGGTAATCTGATGATGATGATGATAGCGAATTTGGTTGGGTTTGCGGTTGGCGTGGATGGGTTAAAACGTATTATTTCTGGGATATTTAAGGATTTTTCGGGTTCGTTTTCTCTCCCAATTTTCTCGCCTGCTATAAGACACTTGCTAACGGTGGCGAAATAGGTATGACATTCCTAGTCACAGCATCATCGGTGCTTTTTGTGGGAATACAGGTCATGTTTGAGGTACGGCAAGGAGAGGCACGGAAAGGCATTTATCTCAGATGCTGAAGAAAGTATATTATTGCTGTGGGAGCAAAGTATCTAGTAGAATGCAAATGAAAATATTTTAATGTAATTATTCGCCCGAGATAATTCAACTCTGATAGGTCCTCCCCGGGACATACAAGGGGTCTAGACCCTCAGAGGTTGGACCAGCCTTGGAGTAACCATGTAGCAATTCTGGATTGAAGGTCTGAGGGCAGCGTTACAGGTTCCACAGCCATGAAATGCAAGCGCTACTGCAAGGTAACGCTGAAGCATCGGTACCCAATGAGGCTGTACTATAGAAGAAACCAAACGCTCTCTTGCGTCTCTGGCTATTTCTATGTTATAACATAAATACGCATATCACACAAGGCAACTATTCGATGGATTCAAGAAGTAAGAGCTACTCTACTATCAAGTGCCTATGAGGCTTTCCGACGACATGACGAGAAGCTTTCCCGACAGGTCAAGTTTAGATACACAGGTTTGCGTACTGGGGACTAAAACACTGTGATCATATGAGACGAGACCCCGAAAGACCCAGCCATTAAGTCTCTTCAATGCCACTAATTACGTCCCACTAGAAACTTAGTTAGACTTTGTAAAACCGACAGGTGAGAATAGTAGTACAGCGTACGTACGATATACCACGTACTACCCGACACACGGTTGCCACCCCCGGACTTCGCAACGTATTATATATGTAGCGATTCGAACCCTTTCTCTAAACGTTCAATTCGTGCTCCTCATCCTCATCATCATCACAGTCCACCCCAACCCGCATCTCGAACTCACCCCTCACTCACCCCAAAATGCAATACCACACCCTCCTAACCAGTCTCTTCACTCTTACCTTCGCAACCAGAGGACTCGCGCATGGGATTCCGATCGCTGATACCGCAGACCTTCAAGGACCTTCGAAATACCCATGCTACAACGCCGCTGATCCAGAGAAGTGAGTCCATGTCGAATATGACGAGAGAAAAACACCTGCTGATGGATTCTATTCTTCCCTGTGTAGTGGTGTTGGGAACTATTGCAGATGCGCAGATAATAATTGCTGGGAAATCAGCAACGTTTTGGATTGTAGCCCGGTGTCCAATGTTCCTACGAAGTGTCCATAGCCTGCGCCGTAGGAGGATAGGAAGGTTATAATAGAGGGGAAGAAGGATTAAGTAAAGGATGATTTAGAGCAAAACGTAATTCAGAGCTAGAATATAAGGTACTATGGTCAAGGACTAATATGTGGATGTTGGTGTGTATTAGTTGGGGAACTCCTACGGGAACACTACGTTCATGCTTTAGTTGGACGAGTAGTACCAGGGTGCGTAGATTTTACCAGCAGTTTCACAGTACAATACGACGGAGATGCGCACGATTGCTTCTGGTTTGGGACAATAAAATATAATTGCAGACTCAATAACGCACCCAAATTCCAAAAAAACACTTTTGATTCCAACCCTCCGTCGCGACAGCAATACTGTTGAAGTATGCTTCATTCCTAGATCGTTGAACCGATTTTGCAGTAGGAGAAAACGCCCGCATAACCCCCAAGAAGACTGAAGCCTAAGATTTAATTTGCGTATGAAAGTAACTCGACATCTGCTGGCATGAGAAGATACAGAAATAATTGAAGTGGGTGTTTCCATAGTTGTCCGGCGTTCGAGTTACCAAGCCATTTGCACTCCTAATGTCAAATAAGGAAAGAAGGATAAGGAAGCAAATTACAAAAAGGAAAGGCCATGCCAAAGAAAAACATCAAGGAGAAAGCCAGATATCAACGACAAAATGCGCCCCGGGAACAGGAGAGCAGGTTTTTTTCCCCCTACACCATCTATGCCACACTTTTCAGCGGGGCTATTTGGGAAAAGTTTAGCGGAAGTGCGAGTGGTAGTCGGTTGTTGATTTGTTTTTGTGTTTTGAAGTGAAGGAGAGGTCTGTGTCCAGAGGAAAGTGAAGTGCGATTGATTTGATGATAGAAAGAATGGTCCGAGATCCCAGTTGTGCGGGGAAATTTAGATTCTTTGCGCGTTGTAAGGACTGACTAGGGAAGTTGGATCATTGATCTGCTATTCGTTTCCAGTGCAAGAATTTGATGCTTCGAACTCTTTTCGCAGCAAAGCGATATCATCTGCCATAGAGTACGGCGCAGCATTACGGATTAGGTATGGTTGAAGCATCTCTGAGATTTCTAGCGCGTGCTCAGCTCTTTCCTCCGGTGAGTGATTTGAGATAGCATGTTTCAAGAAAGTGCATGGAATAGGATGCTTCACATGCATCAGTTGATTCTTGCACATTGGACAGGTGATTGATCCAAATCCCCAGAATTCTTGAGCGGATCGGATAGCAAGATATCCTCTAGAGCGCTCGACTAGTTCATGCGTCCTCAAGTGCTTAGATAGGGTATCTTCAGATTCCACGAAGGTGCAACCAAGGAAGGCAAGGGGACAAGAGTGACTATCTTCGCAGACGAATACTCCATATTCAATCTCTGTAATTCTTAGATTGAGAGCCCTGAAAATAACTTTCACGTAGGGTAGATCGGTAGGTTTGCGGTGGTCTGAGTGGAGATGGGAACCCAAGTCTGTTCGAGCGAATGGACCCTTCCTACAGTCTTCTATCACGCACAGATATCTTTCGGACTGCCGATGCTTCCTCATATGCTCTGAAAACTTGTCTGGCCTTCCAAATGGCTTCGTGGTACGGTTGCACCCATACACCGGACAAAGGAGTGTGAAGCTTCTATCGTGGACATTGCGTTCATGTCTGGCGAGTTCGTACTTTCGAGGGAAGGTGGAGTTGCAGCGTGGCTGCTGGCATTTAAGTCTTGGCTTCTGGTCCTTCGTGTGCTTCTTTGAGCCTTCGCATGCATTTTCTTGGGGGATGGTCGCAGCGGTGTTGCTAATAACAGAGAACCCATCTTGTGGAAGCTTAGCTTCTCCATCCAGATTTATTTTGTTCCCTAGCCAAGGATTGTCTTGATTGAGATCACAATATTGCATAATCATGGAGGGATTCTCGTATTTATCATTGCTATTAGCGGTAATTGGTGGCGGAAAAAGTCCATAAGGAGACCAAGGATCCATGGGTTGCTGAAGAGGACCTTGATTTGAGGATCCATGATACTTAGCTGTATCTTTGTAGGGGTTGACGCTTTCTGGGAGGTTCGCTTCCACTGATGAAGATAGAAGACCCGAGACCTCGCCAAATTGCGGTAAGCCAGTAGTGGCAGGTGGTTGTAGAGAGCTAATGTCGCCCCAAAATTAGCGTACGTTTTTTTTAAAGACTTACCTGTCGCCCCAGTCACCCTCCAATGGCAGAGTCCAATCCATATCGAAGCTCATGTCGAACTCAAAGTCGGCAGGCAGCAGCCACTGTTGGTTGTCGCCCTGATCCATCGTATTGGTTGACGCAAAGAGGGCGATATGCAGGCGTTGAAAATGAGGCGAGCAAGCGAGGTAGTGTGGTGAGATTCGGCCGAGTAGAGAGGGGGGAAAAGGCGAATTTTGGTGTGCGAAGCGTGGGAAAGTGCTCTGGGGGAGCATCCGTCTTTATCTCTGCGTGGTGGAAGAAACGGGGGAGCAGGGGTGAAGAGGGCGACCATACTCGATGACCACAGCTGGATCTCTTCCCTGCTGCATGTTGACGAGACTGCGTTCACACGTACTTTGAGAGAAGCCGTGGATCAAATGATCCCTCACAAGTGTGAGCGTGCGGCTCTTGCCATGTCTTGGCCATGGGCACATTGCACACAGAATAAATAGGAATATGAAAATTCTCACACAGATATTGCGCCAGGAACATGCGTTGATTGTCCTCTTACATTTTGCCAGTTAGGCATAGGTCATGAAAGTCCCAAGGAGACTTCCTTCCCTTCCGCAATACATTTGAGTCCAAACTTCACATCTTTTGCCAACTTATCAACCAGCTCTTCCTCAATATCGCCCTGCAACCACGTGACGGTGACACAAAGGGGTCCTCCGCTCACACTTGCAACGTTGAAGCTTACAGGAGGACCAGTCGCCATCCCTGACTGCGTAAAAAAGTCTCTCTCGACCTTCCATTTCCCTTCAACTTCCTTGTTATTCATATTGCCTACATTAGAGAGCTCATATGTTTCTGCTCTCGGCTTCCCTATCTTTGATTGGAAAAATTGATGCATACTTGAGATGTAAGGTATCAAACCAACTGGATTGTCGTTCGGAAGTGCTGCAAGCTCGGCAGCCATTGCGGCGCGGAAATCCTGTGCAATGTTCCATATTTCGGACGTGACCTGTTCCGGCGTCCTGGAAGAGCGAATGCGAGATATGATTTCTGGTGTATATGTCGAGGTATGAGCGGAGACTTGCACACCCATTTCTTTGGTTGGGGATAATCCAGTCAGATGACGGAGAGAAAATGGTGTTCCAGAAGCGAAACTCGTAGCCTCGGGTACGTGAGTTGTCAAGGAAGTAACGATCAACCCGTGAAGAAGACCCGTAATCGTTGCCTTTTGTTCCCTGCTCGCCGCAAGGATTTTAGGCACAAGTTCGGGCTCTATCGTCATGATCCGAACGCGGGACTTGTAGTTCTGAATGTTTGCTGCCGAACAGGGCAATGCCGTCCATGGCGGGGAGGGGTCGGGGAACAACCAGCGCGGCCGAATCTCGTTCCAGAGTTGCAAAAGAAGGAAAAACCAGGATATTCTGAAGTCGATAGTCTTTTCCATTGCAGGCGGTAAGCTGATTGGCTCTGGTATTTTGATAATCCGGCTTGTTAATTTGTCGCCCTCTGAGCTGTTCAAAGCGTGCAAGAAGGAGCGATGAAAGACGACTCCACTCAATCCGTCAGCCAACGCATGGTGAAATGCGAAGATGGCATCGAAAGCCGACCCTTGAGAAGAAAGTGCATCAGACTGAACGATGATTACCTTCCAAGGAGGAAGGGTGCTTGGGTCTGGCCACAGCTCTGAATGTCTCTGTTCGAGGATTCTGATTAACTCTTGCTCGTGTTCCTCCGCACTCGAAGTTTTAAGCGTTCGATAGTCAATACACATTGAGACACCGATGGAGTCAAGGCGGACGTAGGCAGGGTCATTTTTATCCTCGTTGATTATCCCACAGCATAACGCGGGGTGCTCGAGGATGACCTTGACCAATGCGGTTTCGATGGCAAGAGAAAGCTCTCCAGAATCATGAGTGGTAGAATATCGAGCTGTGTTAGCTACGCATCTGTAAATTCCTAAATTATGCCTTGCGGTTGAGAAACGTTCTCTGGATGCGTCAGCTTAGATCACGGAAGGATTATCTACTTGCGCTCACATGTTACCCACAAGTCTCAACATGATGATATCCTGTGTAGGATGGTACCAAAGGCTGGGTTTCAAACTAAGAACTCTAAGAACGGCTTAGAAATAAATGTTTTTTCAAATCACGGAAGAAACGGAATCTAGCCTAGATGGACAATAACCCGCGAGATTGATTTCCAAGCCTCTTTGCAAAGTGGATATACACTTCACACGTGACCGAACAGCTCGAATCAGTACTATGCTTGCATTAGTCTACCTTTGTTTCAACGTAGTCTTTGTTACACAACTTTGTTACACAAAGCTTATGTTGGAGTGCGCAGGAAAGAGCCAGCGAAACATTTCTAATATAGCATCAACGTTGTTCGTGCCAATGGAGCACCGCTTTGAGGAATGCAGGTTAAAAGCCTCCCCTGCTTGCCAGTGTGGGGCAATTATCTCACCAAGAGAACAACCAACCATCTCTAGACCAACCTTAATATCTCTTTCGAGCTTGTCACTCTTTCACAAATTACATTTCGAAGAAGAGCTTCTATGAATCGGAACTTCATTCACACTTCCACAGCCATATCCATTTTCCATACTTGCACCCAATCACGAGTCCGAAAAGAGTGATAACAGTCGTTGATCTCCCCTCGGCCTCTATGGCCATAACAGGACTGCGCCAAGTCTCTCCCCGCTGTATTTTGCATGTGGTTCCTGACGATGCCATCGTCGCCGAAACGTGCCAAATTCAGGTGCTCCTTTGGCACATGCGGAAATTCTTCATTCTCTGCGGGATGAAATGCGGTACACCTAGAACACGGACCCTATGTCAACTGCACTAGTCACGTCAGAGTTGCATGTTTTTTAAACTTTCATGTTGGAGCTGTTTCACCCCGTAACTTCCGGGCACCGTCTCCTATGACTTGCATTAGTCTAACGTTATACCTATTCCAGCCATACACTTTATCTTCTCTTCAGGTTGGCATCATATTTTCTACCGTTTCGCGAAGGCATGCATAGTAGGTCTATTCTCTCCGGAGAATATCACAGGACTCTACTCCGTGCGGCGGAAAAGTAGTTTGAGCCCCACTTCTTCCATAGTGAGGATTTACGGTGATGAAAAGTAATATGCTAGACAGCGAACCTCTACTTCTTTAGGCAAAAAGCATTAAGTGAAGCAAACGCTAGCTTTTTATAAGTTTCTAGAACTAATTTAGTTTTACTTAATAAGTTATAGCATTAAATATACTTCTAGCCAAATTGAATTAACTTATCATATTGTTATACAGAGCGAGCCAGCTCTACTTTTAGCTTAAATATCGAACTACTTTATAATTCTACTTCGGTTTTCATAGATTACTATTAATACTATAAGGTCTATGCTAGGCTATATGTCGTGTTTCGACTTAATCCTATAGTATAATACAGCTCCGTCTACTTGAGGCCTCTAAATTAAGATATGAATATAATAATATGACAGGAATATCTGAACATTTAAGTATAGATTTTTCAACCGAACTTTGAAAAAGGATTACTTTATTAATAGCTATAATCTCTAAAGTCTTCAAGTCTAGATTTCAGATATAAACTTTTTTTATCCTAACTCCTATTCCTGATACAATATGCTTTTATAGACGGTACATCATAGAATCCAGAGTAAGCCATAAAAAGTTTACGCTGTTAACTCAAACTTCAAATTCCTACATGTAACCAGGCGGTATCTTTCTCGGCAGCCAGCTCATTTCATCAAGTCTAGCTGACATCCCACCGAGTAGTAATTTTTATCGCCTTCCCCTGCGACGTATTGTCATCGCTATCATCAGTTGTGCCCGTATGTGTTCCGTCACCACTCCAGCCCGCTGATCCCGGAGCGTTCACTGTCGAGCTGGTCTGTCCTTTCTGCGTGTCGTGAAGATTCGTCAAAGGCATCTCACCATCCGGCATGCGCTCGAATGTATTGGAGCTTGTTACGCCTCTCGTTCGGTTGTTTGATGCGAACCATGAACGCTGACCGAAGAAATGCTTTACTAGATGCCGCATAACGGGTAAACAGGCATTGATGATGGCGAGGGAGGGCTCGGCGACTGTCCAAAAGACCGGGTTGATCATATTATAGCTGATGTCGGAGAATTCGAGAGTAATAAGGGATTGCATGCGGATGATGGAAATAATGCAGATCCTATGCAATGCAGGTTAGCTAAAGTGTCTTTCTTTCCTCTGTGTCTCGGTATCACCACCTACAGAAGACCAATCGCAAAAATACCACAGATTCCAATCTTCGACGACCTTGGCATCTTCAGCTTCCAAATCGTTGGAATGGGGAGAAGCAAGATCGCAACATCAGTTATCAAATTGATGGCACCAATAGCCGTGTATGCGCCTGGTCTATCCCCGCACGACCCTTTAACAGAAATGTTCCAGTTGAAGTTGAAGGGTCGACAGATCAAGAAGACCTGCAATATATTCGCAGTCCACCAAGCAAGAACAATACCAATCATGATCTTGACGGCGAGAATGAAGCCTTTGTTGACGAAAATGCGAAGGTAAAAGAATAAATAGGAGAACTTGGCCAAAGTTTGAGCTGTACCATATATGATTTGGTATGCCACAAGCATCTGCGAAGTGTTAGCCAGATCCCATTCCAGGAACATCTAGACGTGACCTGCAGTAGAACGGCAAGATTGCCAGGAGGAATCTCAGTGATATGAATTCGCATTCCAAAAATTGCATCTGCGATTTGGATCGCAAATAAAGCAAATACACAAAGCTGGAGAGGATATTAGTTGGGAATGGTTGTTGATTCGAGGGAAATACCAGGCAAAGAATAATAGTATAATCATCCCACCATAAAGCAACTTTCCGCGTATTCCTTGCGAGCAATCGAAGTGTGACTGCAGCAGTAGCGAAAGTGATGAAAATTGTGTTTACAATAACCTCACTCCGCACGATTGCGATGTCTCCTATAGGATAGTGCTTTAAAGTCATGGTGGGTGTGTTCGAAATTCATGCGAGGAAAAAAAAGAGAAGTCAAAAGTGAAAGTAAACTTAAAGGATAGAAGTCGCAAGAAGGAACCAATTGACATAAAGAAACTGACTTCACCAGAAATCCAATGCCGAATCAGCAAGGTACTAAATGCATGCATGGTTCTAATGCTATGGGTGCACTTAAGAGGATAGGAAAATACGTATTCTGTATAAACTATAGAATTGATCTCCGTATTGATCATAATAGTTGCCGAGAATAGATACTGGAGATAAAACAGCCCCTTGGATAGGTTAAAAGTTATTCGTGAGAATTTTTTATATAAATTACTATAACAAAAGATTCTCAATACGTAATTCTTACCCAACCACTGGGCCTGAAAGGTTACTGTAATACGGAACAGGGGTGACTTGTTACCCGGATCCCACGATGTAACGCTGAAAGCAAGCCCCCCTTGGCATGTTCTTCTAAGCGAGGTAATCATGTCCGGGACGAAATATCCATCACATATATACGTACGATTATGCAAATACCCCAATACTATATCACGCAATCTTGACACCTTGCAAACTCACAGATCATCAATGGCCCTAGGATGCGCAAGATATCGATGATATTTAAATTGATTTACATCTAGCTGGCCCCGCTCAGCATCTGGACTCTTGGGGCGTGGACGTGCTTTATACTCGATTGCGTGAGGAGGCCTGGACTTCACCTCTATTTAGGGCACACTACTAGAAAGATAAATATCTGGGAATGTATAAAGGTTTACCCGAAGGCGTGAATATTAAGACTATAACAGACAGATCGATCTGAAAATTTGCAGGAATGGAAGTACTAGAAGTGGCGCGGTTATTGATGCTCTCCCAAGTACGCTGGCTCCCGAACTCTCCCACACTCATTCTGCTGGCATTCTGGCTGTTTTGGGTCTCATTTATCTGTACTCGGTATTTCATGGGCGTGCTATCGGTACATCTTTCGTCTTCCTCGGCTCTTAAAAGCCTCAAATGTTAATGCTTAAGCGGCATATGTGATACAACCTTGTATGCTCCGTCCACCCGAACCCAAGCACTCGATTGGACAAAATCCCGCGGCCCTTCATGCATGTACGGCAGCGGAACATACCATTGATCGCCAACCGGATTTCTCCATAAAGCTGTACGTGCCTTCTTAAAAGTCTGAACCTTGAAGCAAACAAGGCCCCCCCTCGAGCATTGCTTACACCTTTTATATTGTTACTCCTTATCGAATTTTTGACTTTGGTTTTCACACGGCAAATATGTCTGTCCTGGAATATGATTACATCGTAGTGGGTGGTGGTCTTGCTGGGTTGGTCGTTGCGAATAGACTAAGTGAAGATCCGCAAAAGAAAGTCTTGGTCATCGAGGCCGGTGCGGATCACAAAGACAACCCCAGAGTTAACACTCCAGGTTCGAAAGCTGCCCCCTTTATTTAGCTCCTTTTACTGAGATCGCCAGGTTTGATGACAACCTTGTACGGGGATCCTGAGTATGACTGGCAGTTCATGAGCCCCCCTCAGGTGCGTCTTATATCGCCATTTTTTGGAATGAGATGTGAAAATTGACAGCATATAGCCTCATGCCAATAATAGACAGATCGCATGTCCTCGAGGTCGTGCTCTAGGGGGTAGCTCAGCAATCAACTTTTCCGCAATATTCTACCCATCGAAGGGAAACTTCAATGCCTGGGCCTCACTTGGCAACCCGGGATGGAATGGCGAAGATATAGCACCTTACTTTCAGAAGTACCATACATTCCACCCGCCATCTGAAGCTGTCACAAAGCAACTATCTTTGGACTATGTGGATGCGAGTGCTCAAGGTCGTGACGGGCCTTTGCCGGTAATCTTTGGCGACGGGTATGGGCCATTCAACGAAGCTTGGGTAGAAACCTTCCGCGAGCTTGGTTATCACCTACCTAGTGACCCTATCAAGGGAGAAAAGCTTGGTGCATTCACGGTTCCACTCTCAATCAACCCCGAAAACAATACTCGTGCATATTCCGCCAGTGCTTACTACTCTGAGGAAACTCGCAAACGACCAAACTTGACAGTTCTCACACAAACCGCAGCCGAGAAGATCATCCTGGGAAAAGATGCAGACGGATCCGCTGTGGCAACGGGGGTGCAAGTAATTTCAAACGATGAGCGGAAAACATATCTGGCAAGGAAAGAAGTTATCTTGGCAGCTGGTGCCGTCCAATCGCCACAACTTCTGGAACTCTCTGGTATTGGTGGAAAGGAACTACTTACGAAGCACGGGATCCCAGTCATTGTTGACCTCCCATCTGTCGGGGAAAACTTCCAGGACCACCCTTTCGCAGGAATCAGTTGGGAAATAGCTGACGACCAAGCTTCTGGGGACATCCTTCGCGACCCCAGTCTTGTTGAAGCAGTCCTCAAGTTATACCAGGAAACAAATGGTGGTCCCATGAACGGCACACCAATCAGCGCTTCCTACATGCCGATGGTAGACATCAACGGCGAACTGAGCCGTGAAAGTATAGAGAAGCTTCTCGTCGAACACCTTGATAATGTGGACTATCCAACATTTCCTGGACAGAAGCTCCAATATGAGGTCTTACGCAAACAATTGCTTGATCCGAAGGAGTCTTCGGGGGAGTACATGTCTCTGCCTTTGCAACTTAATATGGGTAAGAAGACAGACATGCCTCTCCTTTTCTCCAAGATCTCCGAGGGAAACTACTATTCCATTATTATCATGATCAACCACCCTTTCTCTCGAGGTGTTGTTCATATCGAGTCGAAGGATCCCAAGGCACATCCCGTCGTTGATCCACGTTACCTGTCGCATCCATTAGACCTCGAAATCCTAGCTCGGCACACACAATATCTCGAGAAGATTATTTCGACGGCGCCTCTTTGCAATCTTCTGAAGAAAGGAGGACGACGGATCCCTGCTGGTGCAGACCCCACGAGTCTGGATGCGGCCAAAGAGATTGCTAGAGAACGACTGTTCACCGCGTTTCATCCTTCTGGGACTTGTGCCATGATGCCGCGAGATATTGGAGGAGTGGTAAGCGAGAAACTGGTTGTTTATGGAACAAAGAACTTGCGAGTGGTGGATGCTTCGATTTTCCCGATTGAGCCGCTGGGAAATATTCAGGCGAGTGTTTATGCTGTTGCAGAGAAGGCTGCAGACTTGATCAAGGCGGATTGGGTATCTTGAATGCGCGAATCTAGAGAGGTTAATTGTGCATAGGAAGCTCCCTTAGCTAGGCTTCTGTACATACAGTCTTAGACCAGTTTGCTCTGTTCGTATCATGTCAAATCTGCCGGCAGTCAATTTGTGAATATCTGTCATATAAGACCTAAATGAAGAACTTGATAAATATAGCGAATTGGCGTAAGCTTTGTTTGAAACCCCCAAGTCTTGGAGATCATATTAGTGCAAATACAATGCCCCGCAATAATAAGACGCAAAAACACTGAACTTTAGATTCCGATTCCTATATCCATAAAATAATTTTTAAAAGTGGCACCTACCAGTCCTCTTCAGAAAGCCGCTAGGAAGTGGAGTTGTGGAGGCGAAGGTTCTGATTGACTCTTAGCAAAGAAGGAAGCTCTTTTATAGCTTGAAACTCGCTAAATACACGCTGCAGTAAAGACTCTTACATGTTTGGTCCTCGCAACATCTTCCATCACCCTCAGCTTGTGCGCATCGGGCATGAAGGCATGATATCTTTACGAATCTATTGCCGACTCTTCATCACTTCACATAAATCTAGGTGCTCGCACGCCGGGCTTTTCAATTATACTACTAGCATCTAGCAGCAGCAGCAGCTGCTGCCGTTCTAACCAACAGGTCTGCAAAGATTGAAATATACCAGGGAATATAATATTGAAGAACAAAGACTGATTATAACGCTGTTTCATGAATCGCACGGTAATCCATCAGCAGTGCCATCCGCCAGGGACATCTGGACGTTGCGAAGACGCTCCTTGCCTACTCTGGTTGAAATCCGGAGACCTATGCCATCACCTGGATGTTTCTACTAGTTGTAACCCAGGGAGTACAAGTACCGATGTCAAAGGTTCTCTTGAGCTTGGGAGTAGATTTCGATGCTACGATTGACCGAAACACTAGCTACACAATATGCGAATGTCTATCGTCCGTGGCAGTAAAGCAGAACTTATCGCCCATCGCACGGTTGCTCGTCGAACTTGGTGTTTCAGTGGAAGAGTGTCAGAAGGATCCGGTCTGGAAGGATCTCGGAACCCGGACGGATGAGGTCTTGCGAGACGAAAGAGGGAAATATGTTCCGACACGACCAAACTCTGGGGGCTGGATCTCAGGTGTGCTTAGAGTGAGTTGGGTGGGGAGGGATTTCTAGATGGACGGTTTAGAAGCTTTGTTTTATCATCGTTTGCTAGATATTTCAAATCAAATCTAGCAGATAATATAATATTTGAACGTCTGAAGCAAGCCAGCAATGTATTCCTGTCTGCGAAAAAATTGACGGGAGATTTGAATATCAATTGATACTGCCTTACGTGTATAGTATAAAATCTCACGGCTTTCAAGTAGAACACATAGCCTGTCTACAAGTCCTACTTATTATCCACGCACCTCTGCGCCTCCAACTCCACCACCTCCTCCACCTCCACCTCCTCCCCCTCACCACCACCCCTTCTC